CAGTCTAAAGATGATACAGAAAACTCTCTGCAGGGTTGATTACATTTTGATTACTGTAACTAAGCATTAAGACTAGAAATGAAACTTTATCTACAGTAAATATGCCTATATTGCAAGCATTGTGCTTTATGGAGTTTTACCAATTGTTATTCTGCATCAATAATAAAATTTTAATAACGGTTCCATGGTAATGGTACAATTTTTAATTTTTACAGAAGTCCCAGAAATGATCTCAGTGTATATCAGATACAATCCATATACATCTTAACAGGGTCACAACATACATAGATTTTAGAACCAACTTTTCAGCAAAATACTTATAATAATAAGCAACTAAAATGAGAAATAATATAAGGAGCCAGTTTCTGAAAAGCAGAAAAAGAAAAGATAGAAGGCCTACTTCTGAAAAGCAAAAAAAGAAATCCATAAAGCATATTAGCAGTTAAACCGGTGCACAAGAAGTAGCAGAAGCACACCAATAGCATAAAATAGATAGTCTGAACATACACAAGCAATGAACAACATGCTTGTAATTTTACCTGAATTATATGAATACAAGCCTTTATCTGGAAAACAAATGTTAAAATGAAGTGATATCAGAAATAAATGAGGTCTTCACATGCAACAGGGATGTGAATTATCTAGAGGCGTAGTAGGTACATATAACTGCAGTCACAATTCTTATGTGGAAAGGCAATGATAAATACCTATTCAAGATTTATAGTGCAATCCTATGCATGTTTATGCAGGTGCAAGTTCATCTGTGTTCAGTGGGGCTTACTTTCCAATATATATAATATAGCAATCCTAAGCCCATAGCCACATAAGTCTACTAGCACTAAAGAACTTTCTTTCCCACGCCCCCTCCCCCAAGCAGCTAACCACAACCCTGAATATTAATGCCAAAGGCTTTCCCGGCTTCTCCAGGACAAATTTGACGCAATGGTGCTGCTTAGGGAGTGGGGAGCATCCTTCTCTGGATTCCGCTGATGGAAGTAGTTCTATTAACAAAACCATCCCATTAGATTCCAGCCCTAGCACGTTAGGATTGCAGCCACCAAGTGTGAAGATCATACTAAGCAAAGCGCGTGCAAAATTAAGTACAAAACATTCCTCTTGTGATGAGTATATTTTCAACACATTCTGAGTAATTACCAATGTATCCATAGGGCAGAAACAAAATTGATATTAAGGCCCTTACACTGGTAGACAAAATATTACAGAACTAAAGGAAATGAGCACCTGTATAACTTTGCAATTCTTCCCAGCATTGCACAGTGCTAATAAACTATTAGGGCAGCAGTATACTATCAGCACAAAAAGGAGACTGTGGGGGGATAGTATCTGGGGACAGGGCAGATGAGAGTAGTGGTTAATCAGATTCTTGTGCTGACTTAGAGATTGCTTTTGTCCCCAGTGGCACTGCAATGTTATGTTTGACGAAGAGATGCACTATTTTAAAATATTCCACTGACTCGTTAGATCTGCAATAACCATCAGCCCAAACTTCCTCAATCATATCAGAGAATAAGGCTTTTGCTCCCCTATTAACAAATCATAATACAGTAATGCACACTATGCTTGAAAAGAACGTACAATTCATTTATCAAGAAATGCAGTCAGATCATTTCGCTTCTACATCATCAGAACTAGACTCTCTAATCAATCGAACAATCAATGGCTAAGAAGAACAAAGAAGTTCTTATTAGAACTTTTACAGGTCCTCTGCATCTGAGTTTTGGATAGGAACAATCACCAGGGATCTCTAGCCACTGCTGCCCACATGGGTGAGCACAGCCAATAGAATAATAACTTCTTCTATCAATCTATCCATGCTAAGCAATACCAGAAATCTGCACTCAGATACATAGGGGTTGTTTCTGATATTAGGAAAACTGTACTTTGGCTAAATAACCTCTCTTAACCAACATCACTGGCCAAAGTCATGACCATGAAAGCGATACAGGATCACAACACAGGATCACAACACAGAGCAAAACACAATGGGGACAGGACAAGCAGAAGGAGTGAAGGACTAAAAACAAAGTGAAATGCTAAAATGCCTGAATGGTAAATAAGATAATTGACTGGCACAACCCTTCCCCACCCCCCACCCCCAAAATGAATTATAGGTAAGTGTCCCTGAAGGGAGTTTCTACCGGAGGAGAATTTCAGAGTTTCTGTCCCTTAACTGAAAAGTTCTTACTGCTTTCCTGTCTCTAGAACTAAGGGGACTCTAAGGCAGAAACATGAGGAAGCTGGTAAGCCTTAAGGTACCAAGGCTCCCAGCTCTCTAACAGGTTTAAAGATTTAAAGAGAGTGTCTTTTGCTAAGAAATATCTGCACATTCCTTCAAATGCTTCCTGAAGGTAAGCCCCAGTGAGTTAATTAAATTTTCTCTCGAGTAAGTATGCATAGGATTGCATCCTCAAATAACTTAACCATAAGTTACAGCACAAATTATGTTCACACAACCAGGGCAAAATCATTCAAATAAGGAAATCAACATAATGCTTTTAAAATATTTGATTCCATAGAGATAAAATCATGTCGAAACCTGAAGGAAAAACAATGTATGCCATTATTTTCCTTAACAAGGCATGCTAATATTTACTAAGGGACCTTGTAACTAAACAAATGAAATTATAATAATATTGCAAAGTTGGCGTATTCAAAAATTTATTCAAATGGTGAATCATTATTCTTAGATTGAATGGGTCTACTCCAGCTGACTAATATCTAGTTCCTTTTGAAGCTATTTAGGTGTGAGATCCTGAGGCATCAGAATAAGCAGTTTGCAGGTAGAGGTCACATTGTAATAATATAAAAATAAAGCAAAAGAAAACAGCAAAACAAAAAACAGTCCCTATAAATATAAACTTGTACAGCAAAGAGCAGGTTGGAATAGATCCTTTCTATATCCCTTTGTTATGTAAACATTTTTGTAAAGCTTGCATAGAGTTCTATCCATGCAGAAATATCTAAAAAAAATACATCACACTTCTGCACTTTAAAGTAATATCATCTCTGTTTACTGATATATCTCCTTCTGCTCCTGTGATAGATTAGCCCAAGCTAGTGCTCATCACACATACTGTGTCACTGAAATCCATATATTGGCTGAAATTGTTTTGTACACTTACACACATGGCATAACTATTAGAGGCGAATTGATGTATGTTAGGAAGTCTCCACAGGCATTATCTGTCTCACGTTGAGTCACATGATTCAGTATGCCTATGGAGATTTCTTATGTCAATTCTCTTCCAAAAGCTAGCCCATTTGTCTAAATATGCAACAGGACTTCAGCCATCGTATCACTGAAATCCAGATGTTAATTACATTTTTCTGTGAAGTAGCACTGTGTCCTGTACTTATCATTAATCAAATTATCTAGAAAAATCTGATATATTATGTTTATATTCCCAGAACTGATGTAATTTAGAAACTGGCAGTAGTTTCAGGACAGACAAAAGTAAGCTATTTAGAAAGAATGTGATCTGTTAATTGTGAATGCCTCTGAACTTTATCTGTAGAGTCTTTATCTAAGCATGTCTAGCACCTAAGACAATTGTCAGGAGAAAAGAATGCTCATATTCTATACATGACAAAAACCTACTGCTGACCATCCCTGTATTCCACAATCACTAATACAATAAATTTTGGACTTGAATATCCATGGGGCCTTATGGGTTCATTGCAAACTCTAAAACCTACAAGCTATTATAGGCCATTCACCCGGGAGAAGCAAGTAGCACCGCATTAATGAGCAGAAGTGTACCACCAAGACTTAGACAACTTATGCAAACATAAATCAGCAATAAGATTCTGACCACAAAGGTTTTTTTTAATAATACCATTAATTCACCCATTTTTCTTGGATACTATTTTAAGACAGGAACTTGGGGTATTAACTGGGGAATGGTAAATCACTTCCGAGTATTCTCTACCTATAAAACCCCAGAGACTACAGAAGTGTACCACCAAGACTTAGACAACTTATGCAAACATAAATCAGCAATAAGATTCTGACCACAAAGGTTTTTTTTAATAATACCATTAATTCACCCATTTTTCTTGGATACTATTTTAAGACAGGAACTTGGGGTATTAACTGGGGAATGGTAAATCACTTCCGAGTATTCTCTACCTAGAAAACCCCAGAGACTTAACAGTACTCTATTAAATTGTGCTGCTTATATAGAGGCCTATAGTGCTTATAGCTCTCTCTGGGCAGTTCACAATTTAATTATTCAGGCTATTATTGTTATTATTTGAGGTTTCAGTTGGAATTTGCTGAGGTATTTTAACTGGCATTTTATATGTTGTCATTTGTATAATGTCAGTGTGATTTGCTGAGGCTAAAGGTAACTAATTAACAAGGTGCCATGTATATCTCAGTTATGCAACCGGGCACATGACCAGCTACACAAACAAGATGCACACAGGAAGCTGACCATTAATCACCTCTTGTTTCAGGTGTTTAAACACCATAATACGCAAATTAAATCAGAAAAGGTAATGTTTGTTAAATAAAATCAAAAGGAAATCTGACATTTAAATGGGTAATATTTTTACAATTGCATATCTGTTCTTAAATGTTAAAAGGTATGTCTGAAAGAACAAGGGAAGGCTAGTGCTTCTGCATGAAGAAAATGATAATTAAAAGAAAAGAAAAGTGACAGATTTCAATACACACACTACCGTGGAAGTAGTACGATGTGATTATAGATGGTACAGTGCAAAAAACAACATGACATACTCAGTTACCAGTAGAGAAAAGAAGCAAGAAGGAAAAACAGTGCAGTATTTCCTAATATAGAAATGAATTCTCAACATTATTTTTCGTGAAAAGCTTAGTCAAAAACACTTAAGGCAGCGCTTAAGAAAATACCATTCCCTCTAATGCCATTTAGATATAATATTTTCAGTCTCTAAGAAAACAATTCATTTTATTCCACACAGACACAAATACACAATTAATAAAATTAACAACTTACTTTGCAGTCTTCGTGCAGGACTCTCTCCATGGAGCTGTCGTCGTGGCAAATATGGGGAAGGATGGGGAAGTGGCAATGAGGAAACATCATGTGTCTGAAGTTTGTACCAGTGAGGCTCATCATCCAGCAGAGCTGTTTCTAATTCTATTAGAATCTTTTAAAAGAAAATAGAATTGCAGTACTTAAATTGCAAAGCAACATTTGTTCTATGTTTTATAGATCACACATAATGGTTTATTCATGTACTTCCAATATATAGATTAAATTTAACAACCACATTAGTTTCATGGCAAATATCCTCACTAAAAATCACAATCAGAAAAAAAGTGACTAACTACCTAACCTCAACTTCCACCAACTTGATGAAGATAAAACTACTGGCTTTGGAAAAGTCCATACTCATGTAGCTCAGAAAGTCAGATATCTTCTGCTCATTTCAAATTTAGTGTGATATTCACAAGAATCCTAATAAAATTTTCTTTGATTCAGAAGGAATGCCAAGCTTCTAGGCACATGCAGATTAGCATGGACAAAGACTGTACAGTATAGTCTTCTGGAGAGCTTAATTAATAAATAGAGAAGCCAGGAACTCTAAAAAATACATGGTCCAGGAATATCTGAAATTGAGACAATGCTGAATGTGTTCAGGCTTTGCAGAGAGGCCTCATACAAAATTTGGGGGGAAATAGCATAACCAAAAATTTCTGTCATAAGCAACAGGGTATGTAATTGTATAGGGCTTTAGGCAGAACTCTTTCTCAACAGCTACTCAACCCTTTGGATTGGAAATACTAAGGATAGGAGGAGAGTTTTTTCCTCTCTCATTGCCACTGGCAATGGTGCGGCTAAAAAATATTGTAAATAAATAAATAAATAAAATAGCAGAATTCATTATGAATTGGAGGTGCAGGATGGGCAAGACAACACAGTACTTCACATGGGATATAGTTAAAACTTTGAATGGCTAATGCAGTGAATAGCAGCAGATGTGTTGTGCAAATGAATGTCCTAATACTACGTACTACTGTATTTTCTGTTCATTGAGACTATTCTATGGTCTGTTCTTCTAATACTAATAAACAGAATTTACATGTTATTCCACCACTAATACAACCAAAGGATAGTCCTGCCCACAAAAAAAGACTGTGTGTGATATGTTTTTGATATCTTCTCAGTTTTTTAAAAAATGTGAAACAAATTCATTACAAACAATCACATAACATAAAATACCTCTCCTAAAAATTCACTTTCTTCCTCTCGAACCCGTGCCTGGTCCCAAAGAGTAATTTCCAACATTCGTTCTCGAAATTCTCTCCGATGAACTGGAGAATAAATGAATGTTTGGTTCCATTTAGGTTCCAGTGTTTTCTTTACTGTTTTTGTTCTTCTTTTGTTCTTATCACTGCAATTGAAAAGTGCATGTTAAAGGTTTTGCTATTCTGTTGAACACATGCTTGACAAAGTAACAGTGGGAGAAGAATAAGGCTGGGTGTTTGGGTTCAGGAAGTTCTAGAATGTGAGGAGATACCTCCTCATTGAAACTGTTGAGATAAAGTTCTAAGTGTTAAAATTACACAGTTACATAAATATATTAGAATAAGCTAATGTACCTTAGTATGACTAGTTAAATATATTCCAGAAACAGATATGCCTTACAAAAGATTAAGACAAGTTGGAACAAAGAAGCCTTAGAGTACAATTAAGACCAGCATCCTATCCTTGGAATAAATGTTCTAAGGACACGAATAAGCCCTATCCACTGTTTTCATTTTCGATAGGACTGGTGCAGAAGGAAATGAGGAACATACTGTAAGGAAAAGGTACTTCAAAGAAAGAAACTTAAAAAGAGTAATAGTTTTGATTACTTAAGGTGCTTAGTGTAATCATCTATAAAACTTACCCTATGTATTCTGGAACTTTTGGCTTCTATACTACACCTGAAGGTATGTATATATTGATTTCCCTGCTCACATTAAACACTTTCCTGATAGCCTGCAAATTAAAATGGCTCTTGACAGATTTATTAGAGAAATGTCTCCACAACTGCATATATCTGACCATGCTATATGAAGACATATTTTGTTGTTGTTTAGTCATTAAGTTGTGTCCGACTCTTCGTGACCCCATGGACCAGAGCACGCCAGGCCCTCCTGTCCTCCACTGCCTCCCGGAGTCTGGTCAAATTCATGTTGGCAGCCTTGGTGACACCGTCCAACCATCTTCTCCTCTGTTGTCCCCTTTTCCTCGTGCCCTCACACTTTCCCAACATCAGGGTCTTTTCCAGGGAGTCTTCTCTTCTCATCAGATGGGCAAAGTATAGGAGCCTCAGCTTCAGAATCTGTCCTTCCAGTGAACGCTCAGGGTTGATTTCCTTAAAATGAATAAGTTTGTTCTCTTTGCAGTCCAGGGGACTCTCAAGAGTCTCCTCCAGCACCACAATTCAAAGGCATCAATTCTTCGGCAGTCAGGCTTCTTTATGGTCCATCCCTCCCTTCCATACATCACTACTGGAAAAACCATAGCTTTGACTATACAGACCTTTGTCGGCAACGTGATGTCTCTTCTTTTTAAGATGCTATCTAGGTTTGTCATTGCTTTCCTCCCAAGAAGCAGGCGTCTTTTAATTTAGTGGCTGCTGTCACCATCTGTATAGATTTCACGGGAAATAGATAAGGTGGTCAGGCACTCCCATTTCTTTAAAAACTTGCCATAGTTTGTTGTGGTCCACACAACTTTCTGACTTTCTCCATAATCCAGCACATATTAGCAATTTGTTCTCTAGTTCCTCTGCACATTCAAAATCCAGCTTGTACTTCTGGGAGTTCTTGGTCCACATACTGATTCTGTAGTTGGAACATTCTTTGGCACTGCCCTTCTTTGGGATTGGGATGTAGACTGATTTTTTCCAATCCTCTGGTCACTGCTGAGTTTTCTAAACTTGCTGACATATTGAGTGTAGCACCTTAACAGCATTATCCTTTAAGAATTTAAATAGTTCAACTGGAATACTAGCACTCCGCTGGCCTTGTTGCTACCCATCTGGTGATGTCCATGTGTAGAGTCGCCTCTTGTGTTGTTGGAATAGAGTGTTTGTGATGACCAGCTTGTTCTCTTAACAAAACTTTGCCCTGCTTCATTTTAAATTCCAAGGCCAAACTTACCCGTTGTTCCTTTTAACTCTTGACTCCCTACTTTAGCATTCCAATCCCCTATAATGAGAAGAACATCTTTCTTTGATGTCAGTTCTAGAAGGCGTTGTAAATCTTTATAGAATTGGTCAATTTCAGCCTATTCAGCATCGGTGGTTGGTGCATCAACTTGGATTACTGTGATGTTGAAAGGACTGCCTTGGATTCGTATTGAAATCATTCTATCATTTTTGAGATTGTATCCTAGTACAGATTTTCCCACTCTTTTGTTGACTATGAAGGCTACTCCATTTCTTCTACGGGATTCTTGCTTACAATAGTAGATATGATAATCATCTGAATTGAATTCACCCATGTAGTAGATATATTACTCCCGTGTTATATATATTTGCCAACACTATAATTTAAGTTAATGATTTAATATGAATATGAAATACACCACTATCCAAAAGCTTTTTAGGGACATCTATTATCAAGTTTAAGAGAGACGTGGTGGTGCTGCAGGTTAAACCGCAGAAGCCTCTGTGCTGCAAGGTCAGAAGACCAGCAGTCATAAGGTCGAATCCACGAGACGGAGTGAGTTCCCGTCCTTTGTCCCAGCTCCTGCAAACCTAGCATTTTGAAAGCATGTAAAAATGCAAGTAGATAAATAGGTACCACAACGGTGGGAAGATAATGACGTTCCATGTCTAGTCGCGCTGGCCACGTGACCATGGAAACTGTCTTGGGACAAATGCTGACTCTATGGCTTGGAAACAGGGATGAGCACCACCCCCTAGAGTCTGACACAACTCAACTAAATGTCAAGGAGAACCTTTACCTTTACCTTATTATCAAGTTTCTTAAAAGAGCAGGCTCCTGTGCCATAATAAAAACTATTGATATTGTAGTTCCAAATATGATTTCCCAATTTGGAATGGCTTTCTAAAGGGCACTAAAGCTTGCAGAAGTAGTTGGATCATCTTTGGAGCAATCCCTTGGTTATCTTGCTTATATGATAACAATCTCATTCTATCTTAAATATGAATGCATTGATTGCGGTGCAGGTTTTTATAGATGAGAATGCTTATGCCATAATAAAATATGTTAGTCTTAAAGTAGAGCTGGTCTTTTGACTTTGCACTGAAAATTTTTCATAACTATGGCTAGAATCCTACTGGAGTTTGTATGTTTGCATAACTTCCCATGGCTAGGTGTCAGAGTGCATTTCCATAAGGTGTCTCATCACTCACTTAACTGGGCAACCAAGATATGCCCTGGCATTTCATAAGTTAGCTGTAATTAGCTGTTGCAAACAGTGAAAATCTTCGCAAACACCAAGAGAATCCCAGCCTATCCTTACAATATTTGCAAATAGCACCCTATATAATTAGATAACCATACCATCAGTGTGTTAGTTTCTCTTAATAACATTCAAAAACACAAGAAGGTATGCATCTACAGGTGTTTTTTAAAATTAGACTGGAAAAACAAGGAGCAGCAGCAGAGATCCAGAAAGTCTCTTGCATGCATAAAAGTATCTGCACAAAGAAAAGGTCCCCTGTTACCATGGATTCTAGCCTCCTCAGCTGTAATCTCCCATGTCACATCCCACACTATTTCCTTTAAAGGAAGTTAATGAAGGAGTTTTAAGCATGTAGCAGGATTTACAATGTATCAAATTTATGATCAAAATCCCATGCACATTTCTCAGGCTTCCTACTCATAACAGAATCTAGCAGCTTTCTTTAAAGTAGAAAGAACAGAGAGTTTTGTGGCAGCCTGAAGACTAACAAATTACGGCATAAGCTTTGTTAAGACCAGTTGGTGATTCAGGAGTGCACAGAATGCAGAAAAATTTCAGAAAGTCAAAGTAGGTTGTTAACCTGTAACATTTGTTCTTCTTCATCTTTATATTCACACATATGAGTCTGCACCTGTGCAGAGTCAACATTTGAAATCTTTTAGATAGTGTTTGGTGGTAGCCATGCATCTCCTATTTAGAGTAATGTGTCAGCAGGCTGTTCCTCAGTATTTTCAAGTATTTGAAAAGTGCTTGCTTGCTTCCTTGCTTGCTTCCTTCCTTGCTTATTTATTTATTTATTTGTTTATTTGTTTGTTTGTTTGATTTCTATCCCACCCATCTAGACCAAATGTATGGTATCATCTCTCTCCTTGGTCTTCTTTTCTCAAGGCTAAACATGCCCAGTTCTTTCAGTCTTTCCTCATAAGATTTGCTTTCCAGTCCCCTGACCATCCTTGTTGCCCTCCTCTGAACTTGTTCTAGTTTGTCAGCATCCTTCTTAAAGAGTGCTGTCCAGTACTGGACACAGTACTCAGGATGAAACCTAATCAATGCCACATAGAAGGGAACTATAACCTTAAGGGGTTTGGATACTATACTTCTGTTAATCATCCTGAAATAGCATTTGCCATTTTTACAGCCACATCGCACTGGTTTACATTCAGGTTGTGGTCTATAATGATTTCAAGATCTTTTTTGCATGTATTATTATTGAGCCAAGTATCCCCCGTTTTGTAACTGTGCATTTTGTTTCTTTTTCCTAGGTGTAGAACTTTGCACTTATCCGTGTTAAATTTTATTCTGTAGTTTTCAGTCCAGTGCTCAAGTCTATCAAGATCTTTTTGAATTTTCTGTCTTCCAGGGTATTAGCTATTCCATCCAAATTTGTTAGTTGAAAATCTGATAAGCATTCCTTGCATCTCCTCATCCAAATCATTAATAAGAATGTTGATGAGCAATCGCCCAAGACTGAACCCTGGGGTACCCCACTTGTTACCTCCTCCCAGTTTGAGAGGGAGTCATTGACCATCCAAGCATAATTCTATAACCAACTGTGCATCTACCTATCCAGCCCATACCTAGTTAGCTTGCTAATCAGATTATCATGGGGCACTTGGTCAAAACTGAGTCAAAACAGATCATGATATAGCATTCTGAGTCTGTCAACAAATCCATGTTGGCTTCTGGTCATTACCGCATTGCTTACAAAGTCCATGCAAAGTCACCGTTTTATAATCTGCTCCAGAATCTTCCCTGAGATTGATGTCAGGCTACTCGGTCTGTAATTTCCAGATTCCTCATTTTTATCCATTCTGAAGATAACATTGGCCCTCCTTCAATCATCCAGTGCTTCACCCATCCTCCATGATTTTAAGAAAATAATAGACAGTGGTTCCAAGAGTTCTTCAGCCGGTTTCTCCAATACTCTTGGATGCAGTTCATCCAGCCCCAGGGATATGAACTGATTTA